TATCTTTACCGAAAAACCCACATTTTTCAATCAAAATAAGAAATACCATCAAATAAAAATATCGTGATATGATCAAGTATAAACCACACACTTTGAAATGGTAAAATATGGGATATTGGTTTCACATTATAAATATATATATGATAATGTACATTTGAATCAGACAAACTGTTAGTAATAGTAACTTATTAAACAATCCCAATGTTAAAAGACTTATTATTTTTGATTTACAGAGAAAACTATAGGAAAAAACTCCTGAAAACTCTGAATAAATCTGTCCTAAGTCAGGAATCTGATGTTAAGTAGTTGTCGTTTGTTGATGTGGTTCATAAGTGTTTCTCGTTTTAGATTTTTATATAGATTAGGCCGTTGGGTTCCCGTTTGAATGGTTTTACACTAGTCATTTTTGGGGCCTTTTATAGCTTGCTGTACGGTGCGAGCCAAGGCTCCGTGTTGAAGACCGTACTTGACCTATAATGGTTTACTTTTACAAATTGTGACTTGGATGGAGAGTTGTCTCATTGGCACTCATACCACATCTTCTTATTTATATGTAAGTTATAAAAAAACACTAGATTTTAAGAAAGGATAAAAATATGTAAAATCTGATGTGAAGGCAAACACAAATAACAGATCTAGATCACCTTCATGACCTTGTATTATTTCTCGCTTTATTACTTGATTCCTTTGTAAGTGGTAGATAGCAATTCTAATATGATGTGCTAAGTTCTTTTGCTTTGTAAACAACAGTGTGATAAAATTCTCGATATATCTATACTTAGCGCAGACACAGAGATGTACATATAAATGGCTGTTACTATTTACCTCCCATTTAAATCCACATGTAACGTAACCTATGTGCAAACATTATGTGGATTTCATCGTGTTCAAATTGAAATTGAAAAAGAAACTACAGAACTGTTATTCATATTTTAATGCATAACAAAAAGAATTAATGCATAAGATCTTAAAAAATGTATAAAATCAAAATAAAATAAAATTCCCCAAAATTTCATGAATTGAACACATTTTTCTAGTGGGTTTTTAAGAAATAATTCATGCAAGCCTTAGATTTATTTGAAATTTGTAGCTTAAAATATCTTACAGGGGGTAAAATAGAGCAGCCATACACACAGCAATCTTACCTACGCTTCAGTTTTTCAAATTACCGTATTTGTCCTATTAGAATCAAAAATAATTCATGAAAGCCATAGATTTGTTATCATTTTCACATGGCATATTATTTCTTAAATATTTTAGACATTTAATGGAAAAGGCCTATTCAAAGTACCAAGTAAGAAACATTTATCCTCAAAACTAGTAAAAAAGATCTAGCTACAAGTCTACAGAATTGCAAATTATTTTACAGCATCAACTAGAATTAGCATAACATGTACAGTACACACAGAGAGGATGTAATCTCATACTCCCTACACTGTGTAAAAACTTGGTGTCACACCAAGAAACTCCAGCAACTCTCTCCAAATCTTTGGAGGAAATTGGGAGAAACTTGGAGTAATTCCTCCCTAAAACTCCTTAACTGTTTATTACCTTGGTGTGGTTTCTCCCAACAACATGATTTTTATTGCTATGATTACCTTTGAAGTGTGCCAGTAGTTGATGACTACAATAAACATTTCTTGTGTTTCCTGTCATTAAATGACAGTCACAAAAATGATGAAAAGTGTGAGATTTGTTAAATTTAATCAGAGACATATTATAATCTGATTTTATTAAAGAATCCTGTATGTACAACTTTATTTATTAAAATTATATTCAGCATTTGTTCTGACAGTGTTGGGTTTTCATACCTAAGAAACATACAAAAACAAACAAAACATCACCTGTAAGTGGAGTATTATTAATAGAAAATAAAGACATACCCCCCGGTATATTTTAATTGAATTTATTCAATCGTTTTTTCTAAATTTAAATGATAAGAAATAAAGGAAGATTATATAAATATAATATATATATGTAATTTATCTACATTATTTTATTTTATTCATTATTTTTTTTTGTATCATTACTATTATTTTTTAAACCATGTATATACTAATATCTATATGTTTAAACTGACTATCATTGACTATGAATACAACTTATTGTAAATATCAAGTTGCCATTCTTGATTATGAGATTATGAAAGAATGTAAATAATTTTCCAATCTAAAAATACATATTTGTATAAAAATTTTAAAAATCATTTCGTTAACCTTTTTTAATAGCTTTCAGAAATAAAACTAAATAGGAAATGATTGAAATAGGAAGAAGTGAGAGAATAGTTGACATGTAATTATGTCACTGTCAGACCATGCAGTCGTGCTTTGTTGATTTTTATTACTCTTACCTGCAATCAACAGGTCATAAAACCTTCCCAGATGGGAGTAATTACTTGGTGTTTTTTGGGATAGAAATCTGTGTTTCACAGTGTGACACTGTGTTACACCAGAATCAGTGTTGGGAGTATGAGATTACATCCTCTCTGTGTGTACTGTATGCTTAACAATTGACTTGTGGTCAAACAGGCAAATGAGAGGGTACCTGGGCATAAGGGGTACTATCAGTACATCTCAGTTTGATGATCATTTTGATGTGCTACCCATTTTTTCGTGGTCCAACAACTTTTAATTAATTATCAATAGTGCTGTCCATGAGACTGTTTTTTCTGAATATTCTGCTGACAGGCAAGACATCTCTCTGTGTCAACACCTTACTATTCTATATGATATAGCTCTTGCATGTCTTTGGACAAAATTAATTGAAATGTTATTGTATTGTAATTAACATGATTAATTGCTTTTAAAGATAAATGTAATTGAAATGTGATTATTTTGGACAAGTAATATATTATGGTCACTTGCCCAAAGGGCAAGTTGGGTTAAAAAACAGTTAATGTGAAACACTGATGTATAAAATACTCTACAAGTACGTTGTTACATTTTGTTACATAATTCTCTTTTGTTCAAAATAAATTGTGAATATATTGATCGAAATTTCACTCATATTTGTGAATAATTGACTTGGATGAATCACTGCTAACATTACATGTATGTATGTATATATTATGATCCTGTCTGGTTTTCTGATTTTTTTTTCTTCACGAAATTGAGATTTTAGAAGTTTAAACATGTTAAAGGAAGTTTAAGTTACATGTACTTAAAAGTATGTATCTTTAATATCTCCTACTATTGATTGGTATATATGTAGTACAGATACTCTCCAAAATAGAAAATGTACTAGGTTTAGTTCATCCCTGATTTTACATGTGACTCAACTTTTTAACCATGTTTAAGTGTTTTGTTATGTCTGTTTTTCTTTTTTCCTTTGACCATGGTATTTTCCATCTTTTTATTACTTTGATTGTCCCCTTAGTCATGTTAGTGTTTTGTGATGTTTGTTTCTATTTCTTCCTTTGACCATGGTATTTTCCATCTTTTTATTACTTTGATTGTCCCCATAGTCATGTTAGTGTTTTGTGATGTTTGTTTCTATTTCTTCCTTTGACCATGGTATTTTCCATCTTTTTATTACTTTGATTGTCCCCTTAGTCATGTAAGTGTTTTGTGATGTTTGTTTCTATTTCTTCCTTTGACCATGGTATTTTCCATCTTTTTATTACTTTGATTGTCCCCTTAGTCATGTTAGTGTTTTGTGATGTTTGTTTCTATTTCTTCCTTTGACCATGGTATTTTCCATCTTTTTATTACTTTGATTGTCCCCTTAGTCATGTTAGTGTTTTGTGATGTTTGTTTCTATTTCTTCCTTTGACCATGGTATTTTCCATCTTTTTATTACTTTGATTGTCCCCATAGTCATGTTAGTGTTTTGTGATGTTTGTTTCTATTTCTTCCTTTGACCATGGAATTATCCGTCTTTTTATTACGTTGATTGTCCCCATAGTCATGTTAGTGTTTTGTGATGTTTGTTTCTATTTCTTCCTTTGACCATGGTATTTTCCATCTTTTTATTACTTTGATTGTCCCCTTAGTCATGTTAGTGTTTTGTAATGTTTGTTTCTATTTCTTCCTTTGACCATGGTATTATCCGTCTTTTTATTAAGTTGATTGTCCCCTTAGTCATGTTATTGTTTTGTGATGTTTTTTTCTATTTCTTCCTTTGACCATGGTATTATCCGTCTTTTTATTACGTTGATTGTCCCCATAGTCATGCTAGTGTTTTGTGATGTTTGTTTCTATTTCTTCCTTTGACCATGGTATTATCCGTCTTTTTATTACTTTGATTGTCCCCTTAGTCATGTTAGTGTTTTGTCATGTCTGTTTCTATTTCTTCCTTTGACCATGGTATTATCCGTCTTTTTATTACTTTGATTGTCCCCTTAGTCATGTTAGTGTTTTGTCATGTTTGTTTCTATTTTTACTTTTGACCGTGGTATTATCCGTCTTTTTATTACTTTGATTGTCCCATTTTGTATCTTGCTTTCCTTTATTTTCATTGTGTACTGCATCAATTACCTTTGACATTTTCCTGTACATCAGCTTAACGTTAAGTATATGCTTACCTGTAAAAACGAGGCAGAAGATATCAAGGGGAGACAATAAAATCGTAAGGTAAAGAAATTCAGAAAATACCATGTACAATAGGAAAATGATGAAAAGACAACATTCTACAGAAAACTAAAATTGTGCAATAGCAATCCCAAGAAAGACTTGGGTGAAAGGGGGTAGGAGGCGTCTCATACCAAATTTCAGAGAAATTAAATGCCAAATCTTTAATTCCTATGAAAATAATGTGTCCGTTCACGCATCATGATATAATGAAGTCCATAATTCCAGGACAATTTTACTGGCTATTCCTGAATTCCCACAAATTAAATGGATCATTCCCGTATTTCAGAAAAAGGTCTTTCCGCCAAGCGCTCACAAGAATAAGCTCCACTAGCAGCATCCTGTCCTGTTGCTCATCAACTAAAAATTTATTAATCATTGTTGATAAGTCAAAGTAGGTAATGTAACACTCTTATACATGTATCTTTCCAGGTATTATAGTTCCTAAGGCTATAGTAGGACAGAAGTCCAAACAGCAGATCTGATCACAATGGCTGACCCTGATCAAGTAGAATCTGGTGTCATTAAAGATCATCGTTTGCATCTTGGAGATGAGGATTATCATGCAGAAGAATGTAAGCTTCCATATTTATATCATATATTTACTATACAGTATTTTTAACAGCGCATTATATGATAGGAAAATTACCCTAAGCACTTTACAACATATCAATTCACATATACATATAGATTCTACCACTGCATCGAGTGTGATATGATATTTATCCACTCGAGACAGTTAAATTTTCAACTTTAAAACGCGAGGCTCGCAAATATTTAAAAATTTTAACTGTCGAGAGTGGATAAATATCGTATTACACGAGATTTGGTGGTAGAATCTGTTTCTCTAATGATTTTCAAACAATACGCAGGCAAACTTATTCCTTCTTTGCGACTGATCTGCAAAAAGATGTGTTCTTTCTATGTGACGTCATCAGGCATGGTCGCCTTTTTTCATGCCGTCACAATAGGAAATTCAGAGGAAAACAAGAAAATTCGACGTCATAATCAGATTTTAACCAATGAAGAACTGAGATCAAACGAACCACACGTTGATTAAATTTTTTTATACAATGGGTGTAGAAAGGGATAAATTGACGAAGAATTAGAGAAAAGTATTTACAATTAAATATGAACGACCTTGAAAAAAAAATTAACATATGAGAAATGATCAGTAATTACTTTTAAAAAGATGAAAAAGAGATGTTGAAATTTATAAAATCTGATTTATATCAAAGGGATAGGAAAATATATGTATTATATGTTTCCCTTAAGTTTAAAAAAAAACTACATGTATAAAGGCTTTAAAGAAGGATTTTGGGAGGAAAATATAGAGAAGTTAAGGAGATATTACATGTAGTATCTTTTGGCTCTTTTTTAGTAAAAAATAGGGATACTCTGAGTTAATTTCTGAGTGCTTGTGTTTTATAATGTGATTACAAGAGCAACACTGAAATTTGACTTCACAAACTATTTTTTAACAGCACAGCACAGATTGGCAGACCCTGGCTATATTGGTGTGAGATTACCAAGTAGGCCAAGACGTCCAAAACGCCATCATTCACGAAAACGTAAATCAAAACCAAAAATAGAAGCTACCCCAAGTAAGTATAGATTTTTTTTATAGCAGGAGCTTGTTAAGATTATGATATGTCAAAGGTCCTGATATTAAATTTTTTTGTTGGAATCTGAAAAAGACTGATGCAGCAGAAAAGTTTTTTTTTCTTTACTTCCATATCTTTCCAATGTTATGAAAATGTTTCAGGCAAAAGACAATTGATAGAGTGACAGTGGCTAAAATATTTTTAGCCTAGTTAGGCATGACTGAATTCTGAATGTTGTCTTTTCATCATTTCTATTTAACTTCTGTGAAATTGTTTGTCCCTGACCTCTTTAAAAATCCTACAAATTCCTACCATTAATTTACCAATTTCAGATATTACTATTTCATTATTATGTGTAGTGTTTTTTGTAGATTATGATTGGTTGATTAAGCATGTATTATTATTACTATGTTATTTTAGGTCTTTTTAGTTCATTTTGACATATATTTGGGGGAGTTCATTGTTTTAGCCCTATTCCTTTTGGATTGGTAGCTGTAGCACCCGCCCATTCTGCTCATTCTACAATAATAACTTTCTAATGGTTTGTGTTGTTGTTTCTTTATTGGTGATGGACCATATTCTAAAGGTGTGTTTATAACACAATATGATTTTCCATCCGATTTCCAATTGATTTTTTACCTGTAATGTTGTTTCGACAAATATCACACCCTGTGAACTCTAAAATCAGACATTGTTTGGTTAATCCAGGCATGAAATCGTATTGTGTGAACGGAACGCTGTACGACTACCTGGGCAATGGTATAAAATCGTATTGTATGAACAGAACGCTTTACGACTACCTGGGCAAAGGAATAAAATCGGATGGAAAACCGTACCATGTAAACGAACATCTAGATAATCCTGACCAAAGTTTTATAAATGTTTTAGATAAATTAATAATTAATGACCAATATTTTAGAGATACCATCTGATCCAACATTTATGGATCCTGGTAAGTTCTGTATCAGCGTATTTAAGAAAAGGAAAACTAACGAATGGAAATATACACTTAGTTTTAATTTCATGTAAATTGTATTTTTCACTTTAAGATATAATTAGAATTTAATTAATGTAAAAAAAAACACTTTTCTTTGTAGATTTCAATACCTTTTGTGGTTTTGGCTCTATTAACATTTTTAAGAAGCCTAGATAAATTATTTATGTGAAATTTTAATGATGGGTTGCTGTAGCAATGACATCTTAGCCCCATTACCACATTACCATGACTACTTTGTTGGGGTACTTTTTAGATAAAAGAAGAATGCAATTTTACATTAAATATAGACTAAGTGTGAATGAATTTTGTCGATGTCATAAACATGCATGTCTGGTATTTAGTGGAAAACAAGTACATGTAAATAGTTAATTGTTTAAAAGAATTAGCGCCAGTGATAAAAAGATGAATATATGTAAACGTATGGGATTGGAAAATATTCTAGAAATGTGAATACATGTACGCTGTTTAGAGTTTTATCATCTGATCTAGGATTCCAGAATTCAACATCGGACATTTTGCAGCTTGTTCAAATGATATCAATGAAAGAGTTTCTATTTCGTAATGATTGAAACATTTTTTATCTGATATTGCTACAAAACAGAGATTTATGTGGTTCTTATAAAATATTGAGCAATAAATTAAAGACAGAATAAAAACACCTGTGTCATTAAATTACATTTTTAGTTATTTTATAATCTTTTGGGTCTTTGATAAATAGATGATAAACTTTCAGTAGTGTATGTCAACTCAGTGTACATGTATGAACAATCTTTATGTTTTTTAAAACCACTAAGCTGACTGAACATTTTCAGAGTAGATTTTTGCATTAATGAAATTTTGGAGCAATAACATATACCCCCCTAAGTATTTTTTTTGTTATAACTTTCAAAGTATTTAGCTTTTAGTAGATTGCAAAACATATTGATTCACTAGATGAGCAAACGTCTACTTACAAAAAAGATAAACTTTATGAAAAAACAATATTTTGCTTGGTTAGAACATACTACCCTTGAATCAACAGTCAACATTTTGTTTTATATATGAAAATTCTTAGTCAGATTAGTTTTGTCTATAAAAAAACACTTGTATATTACACAAGAATAGATTTGACACTATTTGTAATCAAATGTTGCATGCATTGTATCTGTTGGAATACATGCACTTGTTAAAAGACAGGACTTATTAAAGGCAAACTTGTTCACTTTACCATGTTCATTTTATTTTGTAACTATTTGCTGTACATAATTTTTTTAGTAAGGTTTAAAACTTTATATGGAGGTACTCCTACTAACAGGAGGCTACTACAGAAGAAGTTTTATTCCATTAAATTCCATCAAAAAGAAGACGATTCAACATTTTCAACTGATGAGAAAAAACTGTGTTCTCTTCCTTTCTGAAAACAAGATGAATTGCTTTACTTTGCTTTTTGTGAATTGCAGTTAATCATGTTAATCATAGACAGTTAAACAGATTTCAAGTCTAAATCATTGATATGAGGATGAATTTCAATACTTATTTGATTGTAAATTTCAGCTAGTCTTACTCCAAGTGAACAGATTCAGGCCCTGATCACTGAGAATGAGGAGGAATCTCACGATATTTTCTGTCAGTTGGACACTTTGTTTAAGCTTGGAAATGAGATGCAGTGGCGAGAAGCTGCAAGGTATGGTAATGCTACTGATAAGTGGTTTATTTTTGTGGAGATTACATGTAGATATCACATTTTCAAGGGTTAAACTTATTTGTTTGCCTCAGAAAATTGCTTTTTTAGTAACTCAAATTCATAGTGGGAACTCTTCCCATATAAAGGTACAGATATCCCACTGGAATGGATCCCTTTTATGATAACACCAATCTATCAATGGGTTGCTACTTTACCAAGGTAAAATGCCAATGGGTCAGTAGTTTTGATCTTATGATATTTGTATGTATGCTATATTATCCTTTCAGTAATCAAATATAGATGTCAAACATTGTCTTTGTGATAAGTTAGAAATATATGAATGGATTATGTTTTGCAATGTAATATATTTATGTTTTATGATTTTAACAAAACTTAAATATATGAATGTTGGAAGGGGGGTTCCAAATCCCAGCTGCATATCTGTACCCAAAATCTTTGTTGAGACCCCTCCATGCTCAGATTAGTTATATTTTAAATTACATACTGCTGACCTCTTGTTATTTGTTATAGATATGCTGTATAATTTACAATTTTTTTTTATAGATGGGTAAAATATGAGGAAGATGTAGAGGACAGTGGTAATAGATGGTCCAAACCTCATGTAGCCTCACTTTCATTACATTCCCTATTTGAATTGAGGTCACAACTTTTGAATGGTGCTGTGATGCTAGACATGGATGCCTACCATATATCACAAGTTTCAGGTTGGTTATATAATTCTCTAATTTTTAACCTTTCCTAAGCTGTTTTTTTTTTTTTAATCAACGTGTTGTTCATTTGATTTCAGTTATTCATTGGTCAAAATTCGATTATGAGGTCAAATGTTCTGGCAGTACTCAGAAAATCATATTGTGATGTTATGATAAAAGGCGATTATTCCTGATGATGTCACATCAAAAGGCAACTATGCCTGATGATGGCACATATAAAGAACACATCTTTTTGCAGATCAGAGATAAATTTTGTCTACATGTTGTTCGAAAATCATTAAGAGAAACAGATTCTATCACTAAATCTTATGTAATACGACATTTCTCCAGTTTAGACAGTTTAAAGTTAAAATATTTAAAATGCTTGGCAAAAAATTTAACTGTCTTGAGTGGTGAAATATCGTATCACATTTGATGCAGTGGTAGAATCTATATATATAAAATGCAGTATCAGACTTAATCAAATAGACAAAAAAATGTATTATTGTTCAGAAGAACATTGACAAGCTTTTAGTTAAATCCCAGTTAGTGACACAGCCAACATTCTGTAAGCATATTAATAGACGTTATTTGTTGATTATGTGAGGTAGCAATTCATATTTCTTTGTTTGACTTGATTCTGTCAAAAATGAGAGAAGATTTATTGGTAAGAATCTGCGGTTAAACGTGGGATCCATAAATTTAACACTTCAACCTTTTGCTGGAGGTCATTAGAGTTTAAATATGTATTGTATATGACAAATAGATGTGATTAATTACAGGTTTCATAAAAAGTTAATAATGATAGTCTTTCATGGTTAATACATGTAAACATATGAATGATGGCCAAAATAAAAAGGGGAATTTTATGTGACCTTTCACAGCATAATGACAGAAGTTGACATGGTTGATGTCAATCATATTTGTATTTCGTTTATTGCGTTTTCATAAGTCAGGCCATTGCTTTTCTAAATTGTTTCACTTTTTGTCATGTCTGGGCTTTTGTAGCTGTTTGTACAGTTCTGCTCATTGTTTAAAGCTGTAGGGACTGACCTATAGTTGCTTATTTATGATTCAATTGATTGATGTTGAATGCCACTTTCAACACTATTGTGCTATTTCGTGGCGGTCAGTTTTTATTGGTGGAGGAAGTCGTAGTTCCCGTAGAGATCCACCAACCTCGGTAGGAAAACTGACAATCCTAGTCAATTAAGATTGGAGTCGAGTGCACCTGCCCCATGCGGGATTCAAACTCACAACTTCAGTGTTGACAGGCTAGTGGTACAGTAGTTGGACTACTTAGACCACTTGACCACCGAGGCCCCTTATTCATTTGAACTCTGTTGGAATATTGTCTCATTGGCAATCATACCACATCTCCTTATTCTATATGGATAATATGCTAAATCATTTCTCCCTTTTAGCTTTGTTATTTGAGACCAATCTGTACACTGTTATGATTGGTTGAAAGATTGTTTGATGGGAGTTAAAATATCCTTCCTATTCATTTATACAATTTCATGGTGGTCAGTTTTATTGGTGGAGATAGTCTATTTCCTGCCCCTTAATCATGTACCATTCTTCAGCTTACAACCAGTATAGGATGAAAAAATACGTTAAATTAAATTAACCTATCTAAATACTTGTTGTAAACGGAGAATGCTGCATTCTTCAAAATATCAATTGATCCAACTTATGCAGAAACTACATATAAGATACACAGAAACTACATATAAGATACACATAAACTACATGTACATATAAGATACACAGAAATGACATATAAGATACACAGAAACTACTGTAAATTCAGAAATTATTGCGAGGTTTTTATTAATGCGAATAATGCGAGTGGATGAAGATCGCAATAATAAGAACTCGCATTTTGATATCAGATACTTAAATCTGTATGTAGATTTTCCTGAAATCGCAATAATTAACCTTGCATTTTAGTCAATTCTTCAAAAATCGCAATAATTAATGCACGCAATAATTTCTGAATTTACAGTACATATAAGATACACATAAACTACATATAAGATACACAGAAACTACATATAAGATACACAGAAACTACATATAAGATACATTGTATATTCAATTATGAAGATATGAACATCCCCTGTATTGTACATGTTGTATGAAAATAAGACATGAAAACAGGATTTATTACATTTTAAGTAGTAAATACAGGTAAATTGTATGTGCAATACGATCAATGTCAATCATTCTGCATCAGTCATCAGTGATAACATCAATATCAGTGAGGGTAACAATGGTTTTATCTTACCCTGAAATCTAAAACATCTGTTAGTATATAATAAAATGTATATGATATTGTTTTTTCAATATCACAAGCCAAATCAATCCTCAACCAATTTAATCCCTGATCAGATTTCTCAGAATTATATTGGTGTCTCGGGTTGATAAAGGTGTGATTATGAAAATTCATATAACATTCTGTATTTATTATTTCAGAGTTAAGTCAACCTTATTGATCTAAATTTTCTTAGTACGGAAAGTTTTGAAAACCTTGTGTGCAGTTACATGTACATTGAATTTCATACTTTTCTGTAATTACTGCAGAATTTTGAATTTTCTTTGTTTTACACATTATTTTTTTACTTTGAGTTTGTGTACAGTGCACAGGAATTGATAAACGTACTTTAAGTACCAGTATTTTACATTCAGTATGATCACATGTTTAATTATTAAATCTTTTATCTTTCAGAGTTACTTTTAGACAATTTGATAGCCAACAAACTTTTAGAAGACACCATGAGAGACGATATTAAACAGGCCATTTTATCCCCACATATACACGCCCATCTTAAAAGGAGGAAGACACAAGCAGATGACCTCGGCAGAAAGAAGTCAATTGCCCGAACATTCTCAGAAATTGGCAGATCTTTTTCCAAAACAAATACCAGAGGTTTGTTTTCTGTGTGAAATTAACACACACACATATCATCAATTAAAAAAATGGCTGCTATTTATATAATAGAAAAATTATTTTCCCCAGCATCCCGTAAAAATGCAGGATCTGGGTAAAAAAAAAAAAGGGAAAAAAAAGCAGGATTTGGAAATAAGCATCCCCTCAACAGGTGTTTTAAAGCTTTCTATACAGGATGGATTTTGCTCATTGGTGAAGGCCATTTGATGATATATCCTAGTTTACATCCTTGTCTTTTGGTCAGTTGGGATGAATTGTCTGAATGACAATTATACCACATCTATTCATCTTTCTATAGGAGTTAGATATAAAGAATAACAAATTGGCCTGTCAATTCATGAAACAGAGCCCTAAATTCAATTGACAAGACCCAAAACAAAAGAGTAGTGCTTTTATTACAATTCTTCATCTTAAAGATATATTATTTAATGATAACTGAAAGGTGTTTTTGAAAACCTTAAATTATTGTGCTGCTACACATTTTTGTATAAACACAGAATCCACTACAAGATGTTTGATTGTTGTAAATAAGATAGTTACCATACAACACAGAACGTAAAGGAGACATACTGTCTTTAGCAATAGACTGTTGTTTATTTCATTGGTAGAATATATGAAAACACCATAAAATCAAAAATCCTTTAAAAGTGAACTGTATCCTCTAAATGAAGATTAGAATTCAATAAAATAAATAAATTTTATCTGCACTGTTTCTCATAAAGATCTTCAGATTTAAAAGTCAATAAAATTTTAAATCTCTTAAAATGACCTTAAGAAGTCATAGGAAAATGACCTCTGAGATATAATTAGCAACAACAAAGTTACGGAAATGTTTAACTAGGTCTATAATATACTGTAACATTGACAATTGACGTCAGTTTACATGCCATTAAATGTTAAACAGTGTCTGTTTCCTTACAAATTATTATAGGATTGTAATTAATCCTGCTTTTTACATCATCAACATTGACTAAGATTTGTTATGTTTTATGTTTATACCTATATTAACACATGTTTATATTTTCATAGCAAGTGAGAAAACTGGCAAATTAAATGACACAAAAATTATTTTATGTATTCCATATGTAAGAAAATGAATATAGGTATCTCTTATTCAGAAAATCAAAATATCCCATACATGTATCCCAGAAATGAAGATTGCCAAATATCAAATATTTCAATTATATATAGAGAGAATATTGTACATCCCTAAAACCTTGAAAAAGACCTAACAAACAAAAAAGACCTAACAAACAAATTTCTGTTGTTAATCTGCAGAAGATTACTGAAATGAAATTTACAAAGAGATTGAAAACCTTGCAATAGTATAAATAGGCAGGATTCTTGACCTTCTCCTTTTTTGTGGCTTTTATGAAATTTAAAAAAAAGAATCAGTGGGTCCCATGTACCAGGCTGTAAGAATCCAGTTTAGCATTGTTTGGTCTGTATTTCACAACAAAGCTGAATTATACTTATCTGCAGCGACTCTTTTCATAAAAAATCTTACGATTAAAATTGATCGTAAGTTATACTGAAATGTGTATGACTTACGAGTATTTTTACTCTTAAGATTTTTTGTGAAATGAGTCGCAGGACTCCAGTTCAATATTTCTTAATCTGTGTTTCATAAAAGCGTTAAACCGTTAGTTTTTTAACTGACACCAACAAGTTAATTTTTGAATCGTATTAATATGTGCTAGGTTGTACAGGTGTAATATAATAACAATTTTGTATGACACATTGTATCATATTTAATTAATTTTATTTGAGACAGAAGTACAAGTAGAAATTGTCATTAAAACAACTCTTGCATACATAATTAAAAGCGTTATGAAAGAATTATGACTTATTTTAATACATTGTTCAAGTAATTGGATGTTATAGAATTATAAAGATGAAATGATATTAACTGTTAGACATGTTGATTGATTGACAGAAATTAGGTTTTTTTTTTTAAAACTAAAAATCTGATTCATAACCAATTCCAAGTTATCAGTTATGACAAAGTACTTAATATTTATTAACCCTTTCCTCCAGAATTTCAACTTATGAAGACTCCCTTTTACTCTATAATGACACCTTTTGATGACTCCCATTTACTCCATAATGACACCTTTTGACAACTCCAATTTACTCTGTAATGAAATCTTTTAAGGATTTCCCATTTACTCCATAATGACACCTTTTGACTACTCCAATTTACTCTGTAATGAAATCTTTTGACGACTCCCATTTACTCCATAATGACACCTTTTGACAACTCCAATTTACTCTGTAATGAAATCTTTTAATGATTTCCCTTTACTCCATAATGACACCTTTTGACGATTTCCTTTTACTCCATAATGACACCTTTTGACGATTTCCTTTTACTCCATAATGATATCTTTTGATGCCTCTATGTGTAACCTCATTTGAAACGCTTTTCCTTAAGAAAATCTGTATCAGACTTCATCAAATTGTATCTAACATAAATACCCATTGAAGGCCATTAATGATGTTGCTGTTAGGGTTCGTAAAATTAATGTGCAAGTCTCAATGAAAGTATAAAGTCAAATTATAAAGTACTTCCATTGTTGTTCAGTGGCGGATCCAGAAATTTTCATAAGGGGGCCCACTGACTGCCATAAGAGGGGGCCCGCTAAGTCATGCTTCAGTGATTCCCTAAATGATCAACCAAATTTTTCCCACAAAAGAGGGGGCCCGGGCATCCCCTCCTAAATCCACCATTGTTGTTTTAAAAGTATTCTCCTTTTTGAATTCCTTATAATCCCTTAAAAATAATCACACCTCAGTGAAACAACACATCAAAATATACTATTGTATTATGCCATAATTTAACAACAGTCCATAAAAGAGGGTCTGAAAAGAGGGGGGTCTTCATTACTGTATTTTAAAAAAATTTGAGGCCATCTTTTCTATTGTTTATATTTTCCCCCATTATGGTCTATTCTTTATATTTCAGCACTCTATTATTCTCTCTCCTTTGTTTAATAGTTATATCCAATTTCCCCATATCTATATTCTTTTTGACCATTATTCTGTATTCTTTAAAACCCATCTAGACCCTTATGAAATTTTAAAATGTACATATTTTATAGAAATTGCAACTATTATGAGGAAAATTACAATAAAAATTAAAGACCATACAGTTTACCTAGTTAAATAGTGACCATACAGTTACCTAGTTAAATAGTGACCATACAGTTACCTAGTTAAATAGTGTTGAGACATTGATGTCATATTGAAGTTAACACTGTATCTTTTTGTGCAGTTATTTGGTGAAATATACAGCTATTTAAAAAAAAAAACTGCTCAAAACACAATTGCATGCAAATAGGAAGAGTACTCCTTAAATTACCACTGATTGAAATTCTTTTGCTCAGAGACATGTCTTTTAATCCAGTAGTTCTTTTCCCAGAATAAATTGAATGCTCTATACTGAAATGTTCACAGCTTTTAATGTTTTTTCTCTGTCAATTACTGCAATATCAGAATATGCTTTATACAAAAAATGCTATCAAAAATTAGAAATGCGAAATTTTGCATAACCCACAATAATTTGAAATTTCTATTTTTAGAGGATAGTGTGACAAGACTAAAGGGAAATCCCAACAGTGTACCTAACATGGAAAAATTTCAAGTCAATGGGGACCTGAAAGAATCTCCTTCTAGTGCTAAAGTAAGTATATACAGAATCACAATGCTTCTGTAGTCAACAATTCACCATTTCAGAATCTAATGCATTCTGGGTAATATTTTCAAACACATACACCACAATGTCACGTTTGGTTAAAAAAATTCCTTAACAATGGAAATTCAACCAATGAAATGACATTGTTTCATTTTTGAATACAAAAAATGAAATTACCCATGATCCTTTAGATTCTGAAATGGTGAATAGATATTTGTTAGGCCACATGAATTATATTTTTAAATTCTCTTTACTTTCCTAATTAGGACTTTTTCTTCAGGTCCATATTTTGTTTCACAATTTTGCATAATTTTGTTTAAAATATTGTTATTGATTTTGGGGAACAAATTTCCATTTTATATGGGAGACTAGTGAAAATATAAAATATAATTTCATGTGGTCTTGGTGTTGTTTAGTTTAAATATACATGTAGTTTATTGATATATACAGAAACGATTTATTAAACGCATGATCATGATGTCAACTGTTGATATTTTAACTTAATGGTTTGGAAAGAAAAAGAGGAAGAGAAAAAATAAAAAAATAATGACATTCATTAGATCTTTATTGTTAATGATTAGGGAAAACACTTTATTAAAAGAGACGGATTTTCCTAAGGGAAATTGTTAAAACTTGTGTTATTACGTACTTTAAAAATGGACAAGGATAAATTACAATCATTTAACATTTACCAGAATACAATGAAGATTTACTACAATGTAAACAGTATTTATATTAAAAATACAGGTCACTTTCTGGTCATGTTGTGAATATATGTGAAAATGACATTTAGTGAAAATATTATTCATCCTTACCCATTCGTAATTTTTTATTTCATAATTTTTGTAATATGTTTGTACCTATTAAAGAATCTTGTTTTATGATCAAATAAGAAATCTTCTCAGGAAAATATTAGAAAGAACATATGACATTGTCATGCCTTTTGGAATGAAAAAGTTATATGAGTAAAATAGGGATTAATATTATGTTTTAATATTTTTTTAGCTACATAAGGGACATCTAGTATGTATTGAGCACTTGGTTGCTTTTGATAGTTATTTACTTTCACACATATGGCTGTTACTTTGAAGTGTTTTATATTACATTTTTAGCTTCATTAATTTTAATACCATATAAACATATAGACAGCAGTACTTTTAATGACAATTTGCCATGCAGGATTTGAGGCAGCAAAAAATTAAAAAAAATCAATGTTTCTGGCGATCCTACTGAAGGCTGTTCCCTAAAAACATATTTGGGACCCACGGAAGGCAATTCCAAATCTCAACTATGGGTGGGTGTCATCTATGTTTTTGCATAGTGGAAATGTATGTGAAATTTCAATTTACCTCTATAGGTGGTTATCCCATTTTTAAAGTGCCTTCACCGGGTACCATGTATGCTTTAATGGAACAGCCCTGACCCTTTTATTCTACTCATGGCTCAATTTTTTTTATTACGAAGAGTAAAAAAAAATGACAATAAGTTCATTTTTGTTTCAAAACTAGAATTTAGTTTGTTTTAGTTTGTTGCCTCCATTGAATTGTCTCCCCTTTTTCACAAATTCTTGCATAGTATATCTGAAATTGTGACTAGCATTTGAACCCCAGACATTGTAATAAATTATATGCATTATGCTTGATTACAGGTTAAAAATTTATCAAAATAATCATTAAAAGCAAAAACATTTGTAGAGGATTGCTTCCGATTTATTTCTTGATCATCACCAGGCACTGTTTAATTATGTGTTTTTGTCTTTACCTATCCTTTTTTTTTTTATAATTTCCCTAATGCTGTTTTAATCCATTCTTACTACTAAAATGTTACTTTGGTTAATTTATAAGTTTTGAATAAAATAAAAATTATTGAAACACAGACCTACCCCACCACTTTTAGGTTTTGTATTTTTAACAGATATGCAATGTGTTTGTCCTTGCCTCAGTCAATGTACGCTTTATATTTGAATATAATTATGTATGGTTTGATGATATGCTACAAATATAGCATCAAATAATATTACATAGGCTATGCAGCAAAGTTTGAAAATGGCAAACATAAATTGCCAGTGAATGCAGCTGAAAAAAGCTAAAAGTGTTAATTAGTATCAACGAAAGTAATTTGGTTTAATGTATGGCTAAAGATACCAAATAAAATTTTAACACATGTGAGATCTGATATTGAAAGAGAAATAAAGATAATAGGGCCTTATATTGTAAAATATATTTTCAGCATCATAAGGAACATCATCAAGTATGTACTCAGTAACGAGTTTTTTTTTGAATAATTGAGTTCGATTTGTAAGGCAATTTAATATTAGCTTATAATTTATCACAACTGAATTTTAGCTTTATTAACTTTTTATAACAGCACAATTTTTGGGACTGTATCTATGGTATTCATACTGTATATTTTTCATACATCATTTTGCCCTTTCAGAATTGAAGGAATTGTGGGTAATTCTGTTGTTAAGGTGGTACATAAGTCATAACACTATAGGGAAATAACTGTAAAAATCAGCTGAATGTTTTAACCATATTCTATTGTAAAGGAAATATTAAGCTTCTCAATGATAAAAATTAGTGTTTGTCAAACTGCTATATAATCAATGAAATTTTTCGGATAAAGTGTGTGGTTCAAGTTTTTTGAAATTTTTATATTTTTGTCAAAGGGTCAAAGTAAATATTTTGTCAAAATTTTATGAAAATTAAAAAAGACAAATTAATTTTTGGCAAGGTGTTTGGTACACCAAAATGAAAATGATGGTGATGCAATGGTTGTTCATCCATGTTTTTCAGACAACATTTACCAATCCCAACATGTAGGAGAATTACCCAGAATGCATTAAATTTTGAAACTGAATTACCATCATGCTTAATAAAGAATCAGTGAAATAAACCTTAATAAATACAGGTCTCACTCTTTTAGCAAATTCCAAGTTTAATAGTCATTTGTAGCAGTAACACTACAAAGATATGTTGATCAGACATTACAAGAAGGTGCTTAGATTAAAGTTGATTAGATAAATTTCTTGATGCATATTTAGGAAATACATTTTCTGAAAAACTTAATGATTATAGAATGGCAAAAAAAGTCTAAAGACAAAGTCCATGAAATTTTACACAGTTAATTAAAGAATAACGAATGAAACAATGTTTTTTTATAAAAATTTATGGAAGAGTTTAAATTTATAAATTGGTTCCAGTTGGCAAACAAAGTTATAAGTAATATCTAAGATTTGAAATTGTGGTATCCTTTTTTTTGCTTGATATTAATATAAACATTGTTTGAAGTTAAATTTTATTTTTAATTTGTACATCAGCACTGTGCATTTTGTTAAAAGAGAAAAATGAAAACTACACAAAAAAATGTATGATAATTTAAAAATATCAACTTTTTTGTATAAGGGTTAGAAACTGAGGAAGGGCATGGTTTTAGAAGCCCTTCAACAATGTGTTGCTGAATATAAAACAGTTGATAGTGTTCTGACATTTATTTATTTTTGTTTCTATACTTTAGCTTAAAAGGATACATTTATAATTAAGATATTAGCACATGTTTAAAACTTATTTTCCATCAATTAACGAGCCTCAGATTGTGAAGAAAAGTGACATGACATGAAATCGACGTTGCACGAAATATCACTTTGTCGGTATATTCGGTAGAGAAAGACAAACAACAGGATACGGTCTAGCTGCATTAATAAAAATACATGTTAAATGTACATTTGAATACTGTTTCAAGCACCTGATGATTAAGATTTTTCTTCATTCTGAATGCATGAAAGGTCATATCGTAATGTCTAGAGCTCATATACATGTACAACCATATCAAAATAGTTGAACTTGAACATAAGGATAATTTTTCAGGCTCTTCCTAGTGTTTATTTTTAGTAACATAGTTAAATAATATGTAAAAAATTATGAAACAGAAAATGTTTTATATGTACATGAATGTTGCCAATGAAATTTAATTGTTAGATTGTCTGTTGTGTTGCGATTGAAGAGTTTCTTTTTGTTTTGTTTTTGCAGTATTTATGTTGTTTTATTTCACAAAATGCACATTTTTGATCATCATCACAATCAAATTTCACAATGACAAGTATTTGGCATGACTTGAATGAGTACATTTCTGTTTGAGTACTATAGTATTCATTCTTTCAATCTTTTAGGGAACTATGATGCAAGCTTAATCTACTAATTTCAATATTTCATCAGTTATATTTTATTAGAGGTATTCATCAGTTATCTGACATTAACCAATGGCTTATAATTCAGGGGAGGTAATAAAAAGATAAACAAACATCAACTCTTTATTAGACAAAGCTAGTTTTGTCCGCATTGAAAATATATTATTCATAATATTTTGTATTCCAAAATATAAAGCCAGATAATTTGTACAACAGGAGTTTTTTTTTAATCTTACTATATACTATTCCTAATAAAGTAAGTTACAATTCATTCCTTGAAATAAAAAATGTTCCAGAGTTGTCTTTGCTTACTTTGAGATTTTAGTTTCAGGTTTCACTGCTCACGGCTTTTTTAAGTGAATTAAAAAAATCCACAGTTATATATCATATTGTATCAGCTACTAATTACATTCCTGTATTTAAATTCAAGGGGAGATAATTGACTCATCATGTGCTTTTATGGTTTGAGGCAATTTTAATTTTGTGTTATATCTGTTGGAGAAAGGATTCCTTGCTTATATACTGAAATTAATAATGATTCATTAAATTTAGTTTATTGGTATGCAATACTGTTTTATACAGTTTTCTCTCAAGAAAAAAACGTTTTACTTTTTCAAATTGTGTTGAAAAAATAAGTTTAAACACTTTAATACAGCAATTTATTCTGTCAGCATTCCAGCGAGAAATATTTACATAAAAGTAAATCTTAGCTAGCAAAAATGCAGATCAGATTAGATAATTATAATCAAATAAGACTAGGGTGAAAAAAACCAGCATTTTTCACTTTCAGACCTGCCAACTTTCCCGATTTATTGGGGAAATCCCCCATAAGAGGTGTTGACCTGAATTTTAAAATTCTTTATTTTATAAACTTAAAACCCTAAAGCAGGCATTCAAATGAGTTAAAAATGGGTATTTAAGCACATATAAACTCATTCAAACAATACTGTAACAGTAGTAGATTAAAGACACTAATGACAATATAAGAGGAGCATAAGGTCCTCTTGCACATAAAATCCCACATGGAGATTTTGAAAAGTTGGCAGGTATACACTTTGTTAAAAATTGATATTGTGACATGTTGATAATCACATTTCCTTTAACTGTAAATTCAGAAATTATTTTGAGGTTTTTATTTATGCCAATAATGCAACCAGAGCACTAGTTGAGTATCGCAATAATAAAAACTAACTCATATACATGTATCTGTATGCAGATTTTCCTGAAATAGCAATAACTGATCTCTCATTTTCCTTCGTTCCTAAAAAATCCTAATTATAAATGCACACAATAATTTCGGAATTTACAGTACTTTAAACTTTTTTAACTGTTTACAGCTATATCATTGTATATTGTGAGAACTTTATTTTGATAGACATGGTTATTAGATGCACCCATTGTAACTTTGTAATTATTAATGTCAGTAAGCTGTCATAGGGATTTTTTCAATTTTTTTATTATTGCAAAAAGTGTGATAGGATAGGTTTCACAAAAATTAACTCACATTTTATATTTTTCATAGAATTATTTGTACGCATATTTGTGTTGATTGTTCAACAATAAACAGATTAAAAGCATACAACAATTTCTGAATTTATTGCATTAAAACTGTTCTTATTTCAGTTAAATCAACCATTCATGAAAAAAATTCCTGATGGCGCTGAAGCTGCAAACATCTGGGTGGGTGAAATTGATGCATTGAAATATCCAGTGACAGCATTTATACGTCTTTCTGAAGCCAGGCCAATCGGAGATTTGACAGAAGTGCCTCTGCCAACAAGATTTTTATTTATTCATCTTGGTCCAAATGGTACAGCTGGAAAATGTTTAGAAACAGGCAGAGCTATATCTACAATCATGGTAGACGAGGTAAAATGGGAAATTTTTACACCATTTATTGTAAAAAATATTTGCTGTGCAGCGCAGCAATCTTTGTTTCACTCTTCCCCACCAAACTGTTACATAAGAGAATACCTAAAGTAAATAAAATGGCTATGACTGTAATGAATATGATAGGTCATAAACTTATACGGTAATTTACCATTGATTCATTTTATTTGTGGGACTAGGTGCACATATTTACTAATTTTTTATGGATTTCATGGACAAAGTTTTACCTAGAATTTAGGTGGTCAACAAAGTCCAATTTATATTTTAGCTTGTATCCTGAGTTTTGTTAAACCACAAAATCCAAGTATAAGCAAAAATGCAATTTCCCCTCAGTCACGAAAAATCGATACCTGGAAATACAAGTTGTTCAGCTGTAACAAAAAATTCCCAACAAATGGCATATACCTGAACATGCTGAGAGAATTTGTAAATGGAAGATTTTATTGAAACTGTCAAAAGCTTTTAATCTGTTGTGAACTAGTATTCACCCCCAGAAAAATCTGAAAAGAGTATTTCTCTTATATTTCATAGTTTCACTGTCCCATGTAAGGGGAGGTTTCGGCATACACAAACATGTTTAACCACACACAATGTGCTCGTCTGAAGTTGGGAGCATGTTATTTAGGGGTTGTTGTTTGTTGCTGTTTTTCATAATTATTTTTTCTTCATTTGTTATTTTGTACTTAAATTAAGCTATTGGTTTTCTTGTTTTACATTTTGTTATGTCTGGGCCTTTTATAGCTTGGTAAACAGTATGGGTTTTGCTCATTGTTGAAGGGTGACCTATAGTTGCTAACATCCATGTCATTTGTTTTTTTTTCAAAAGTTGTATTGTTGGCAGTCATACCACATTTCCTTATTTTTATATAGCTACATCAACAGACAACTCCAGAAAATGAAACTGTTAAGAGGTGACTTTTATTTGATGTAGAAGTATGAGTTGAGTTTATAGCTTATTGATTTTGGTACTTTCATAAAACTGAGTTAAAGGTTAAAAAGTTTAATTTCTATTTAGGTATTTAGAGAAGTTGCCTACAAAGCCAGGAATCGTCAAGATATCTTAAATGGAATAGATGAATTTTTAGATCAAGTGACTGTGCTGCCACCTGGTGAATGGGATCCTAAAATCCGTATTGAACCACCTTCTACAGTTCCTTCGCAGGTTTGTAATAGATATGCAACTTTAACTTTTTGGGAGAGCCTTTACTCCATGAATACAATTGGTGAAGGCTGGTGTACTTAACCATGACCTTTAGGTGTAATACCACCAAATCATAGTACGTCACATCCGGTTGCATACGAAAATAGGTCGAAAAAAAATATTCCCTTGAATTTGACAGTTGTAGGTAATTGATCCTACATTTCATTGCAGTAAAACATTTCTGGGTCATAAACATATATCTTGGGTATTTCAAAGCACCATTATTTTTTTATTTGGGGTTTCTATAGAATATTTTGGAAACTTGAGGTTACATGGTTACTAAAGCTTGTACACAGGTTAAAAAAGGGGGAAAATTTGATTGGTTAACTTCCAGTGATGGTTATTTTCTTATATGCAATGAAATGTTATGTGAAATTTTTTCTATAGTACTGGACAGGATCAAACTTTACTCATGCCAAGTATTTCTTTATTTGAAACAAAGATAAATTCTGCACAATTTTTTGAAAAGTGCAAATTTAACAAAGACTAATAGGGGAAAATCAATGGTGGTATTACACCTTAAACATGAATTGTGCACTAATAAAAAAATTGGTTTATTTTCCAAACATTAATTTTGAAATCGTAGTCACATCCATACACAGATTAAGACTTCCTAATTTAACAAAATGACCTCTGAACCACCCTCGGGTCATGGGTTAGATCAAATTAAAGTTTTTTAAATGGCATTGCTGCTTCATCTCTTAGCAGACACCAGTTAATGGGAAGCACAGATTTGTATAAAACTCAGCATTTAGGTCTAGCTCAAAGCAGTGTTCATAATCATATTACATCAACATAATTATTCTGAACATGATTAAAATCAAAATATGCCAGTCAGGTGTTAGATACAGTATATGATGAAACCAAACTTCAACCATCCTTTAGACATTATTACAAGTGTTATTAGGCACTACTATTCATGAATTTTAAGCATAAATTTAGTTATTTTAGTACTTTTTTTCTCTATTTTCTTAAATTTTCTTTTGATCTTTCTGTGCAAGAATTTTTTTATCTCGAGCTACTCAACCGTGCAGGTTTTACTAAGTAGAGTAGGGTGAATATTCATTGACGTAATAAGCCCAACACCATTGGCATCATTTTGCAAAAAATATACAGATTATCTATGGTGTTTGAAACATGAGGAGGTTTCTCAACTAAATCTCAATTCCGGGCTATCACCATTTGATGAGATTGTAGCAGAAGAGGGAGTGCACCATTTGATGAGATTGTAGCAGGAAAGGGAGGGCACCATTTGATGAAATTGTAGCAGGAAAGGGAGGGCACCATTTGATGAGATTGTAGCAGGAAAGGGAGGGCACCATTTGATGAGATTGTAGCAGAAGAGGGAGGGCACCATTTGATGAGATTGTAGCAGGAAAGGGAGGGCACCATTTGATGAGATTGTAGCAGGAAAGGGAGGACACCAATTGATGAGATTGTAGCAGAAGAGGGAGGGTACCCTTTGATGAGATTGTAGCAGAAGAGGGAGGGCACCCTTTGATGAGATTGTAGCAGGAAAGGGAGGGCACCCTTTGATGAGATTGTAGCAGGAGAGGGAGGGCACCCTTTGATGAAATTGTAGCAGGAGAGGGAGGGTACCCTTTGATGAGACTGTAGCAGGAGAAGGAGGGTACCCTATGATGAGACTGTAGCAGGAAAGGGAGGGCACCCTTTGATGAGATTGTAGCAGGAGAGGGAGGGTACCCTTTGATGAAATTGTAGCAGGAGAGGGAGGGTACCCTTTGATGAGATTGAAGCAGGAGAGGGAGGGTACCCTTTGATGAGATTGTAGCAGGAGAGGGAGGGTACCCTTTGATGAAATTGTAGCAGGAGAGGGAAGGCATCCTTTGATTAGAATGTAGCAGAAGAGAGAGGGTACCCTTTGATTGGATTGTAGCAGGATAGGGAGGGTACCCTTTGATGAAATTGTAGCAGGAGAAGGACGGCATCCTTTGATGAGATTGTAGCAGGAGAGGGAGGGTACCCTTTGATGAGATTGTAGCAGGAAAGGAAGGGTACCCTTTGATGAGATCCAACCCAGGTACCTGAAAAACTAATCATTAATTCCTGAGTCCAGATAAGTGTTAATGGTAAATTCTAGCAAAAATAAAGGCCCAAACCTGTCATCTCTAAAAAAAGTCCTTCTGCACTCTAGCAGAGAAACTCTTTTGTTTTTAGAGCCATAGATAAACTATATTTTTAAATATCAATCCCTTGAAACAGATATTTTCAGTGATATTTTCATATCTTTATTTCAGCAAGGACGTAAAGAAAATAAACCACAACCAGCTGGGCCAAAGGAAGCTTTAATGTTCATCGAGGAGGAAGAGAGTCATGTTGATCCTACTCTAGTCAGAACTGGAAGGTAAATTGTAGGATTTGTGAACTGAATGGAGTAAAATTATCATTTCCTAGGAGTCTTTTAAAGTTTGGATTTAACTTTAGAAATAAAGATTTGATACAAGTCCTGGGTGTCCATGGAGGTATCAATGGATCCCAGCCATAAAGAGAAATGGTCAGCAATAGAAATAGAATTAGGCCTATGTTCAGTTCAAGTCTTCTCCCCAGGGTCTTTTTGCACCATGCTAATATAGTGATATATTGCTTGAATTTGATGCTATCTAAAATTCTTCGAGTGTGACTCTTTAATTTCTAGAAACAAGATGGTATTTTCAAAATTCCCTATTTACAAGGATGCTATATGAAATTCATGGGGAGAACACTAAGGGAGCTACCATTTGATTTTTATGGGGGGCTATAATGAAATTTGAAAAAAAAAGGCAGGACAGGAGTTTTGAGTAAAAAAAAAGGCAGGATGAGCAACTTGGCCAAAAAAAAAGGCAGGATGACAATTTATGTCAAAAAAGTCGGGATGAACTAATAAAAAAAAAAGGCAGGACTGAATAGAGTGAAAAATAAAAAGGCAGGACAGAGATTACAACTAAAAAAAAAATGCAAGACAAAATTTTTCATTCTAGCCCCCCCCCCCCCTCCATAAAAATCAAATGGTAGCTCCCTAATATAATTTGTCTTAATCTAAAGGTGGTGGATACTTTTATTGTTTCACCCAAAATAAATCAATCGTCACTTCAGTGGTCGAATTTCTATTGTTTATGACATTTTCAACCAAACACAACCTTTTGGTGTATGCTTTTGAAAATATTACCTAGAATGCATTAGATTCAGAAAAGGGAATTGTTGCAGTGTTAAAATAGCTCTAAAACACGATTTTGTGAAATTCTACATGAAAAGTTTGAACTTTTCCCAAGGGAGACAATTGTGATCAGCGAATTAAAATCTTGTGTTTCTCATGATCACATTAATAAGCCAAGCAAAATAGTTGTTTCTCATGATTATTAGGTATTGCAAACATGCTTAATTTTGAACTTTTTTTTTTGGAACGTTTGAATTGTATTCCTCTGTCTGTATGCCAGAATTGTAAATATCATGATTATGGCAGGTGACTTTTCATCTGCAAGAAGGTTCTTACACAGCTTAAGAAGAAAAGCATGGCTGATTGACAAAATTCAAAGATGCAGTACTACCATAAACATAATAAATAGTAGCTTATGGACATTACCCTTGAGCTGTGTCGGATAGAAATCGACCTTATGCAAGTGCCTGTATACATGTACATGTATAAGACTTTGATTGATTTAAAAACATTCAAATACATGTATGATATAAAAGATGAATGTTGGTCTGTTTTGTAGGGTTCATATATCAACTCAATTTTCAAACAGTTACAGACTTTTAATAGAGAATTTTTTAACCCGAATAATTTCAGAATAAGTTAGCAAAGGTATTGATATTTATTTGCATAAGGTTGATTTCTATCCGACACAGCTCACTTATTGTAACAGATCACATAGTGTTGTCATTCTTGTAATTAAATTACCAAATCATTTTAAGTACAATGTACAAATGCACCATCTTTTATTTTTTACAAGTAATCAAAGGATCAGATAAATGTCCTTCTTTGTGGATATTTTTAAATTGGAAAAGTCAACAATCATTTTGATATTCCTACACAAGAAAATATATCCTGGTTTTCTAGCTACTTGTTCACCTTTTCTACACAATAATTTTAAGTACTAGAATCATGCAAATAAAAGAAGAAAAAGACTTATAAGCTCATCATCAGTATACCATATAAAAAAGCTATGACACTTTTTCTAGAGCACAAAACAGCGAGCGCAAAAAATGCCGCAAAAAATTGTAACCTTTGAAATTGTTGTCACACACTTAATCCCCCATGGGGATTTTCATAATTTTGCAAGTATGGACATTAACTCACTTTTTAGAATCTTTCCAATGCACTTGAATGTCCATGATGTCAGAATTATATAATGATAAAATTTATAAGCTTTACCTGTTATTGAAGACATTTTTTTTGCTAAATATTGACCTTGACCTTGTCTTTTACAGTTTATTTGGAGGTCTGGTTGCAGACATTAAGAGGAAAATACCATGGTATCCAAGTGATTTTAAAGATTGTTTACACATGCAGTGTGTGGCGTCTGTCATTTATTTGTATCTTGCCACATTAACTCCAAACGTGACATTTGGTGGATTACTGGGAATAGCCACTGATAACTATATGGTAAATGCTAAGAATTAAGCAAGGCTGTTTCAATAAGACATATATGAAAACCATGAAGAAAAGGCTTCACATTTTGGATGAATACATAAGATTTAGTATTTTTCTGACAAGAAAACATATCTAAGCGGAAAAAGGGTGAAGGTTTGGTACCATTAAAACGTTTAAACCCGCTGTATTTGTTTGCACCTGTCCTAAGTCAGGAATCTGGTGTTCAGTAGTTGTCGTTTGTTGATGTGGTTCATAAGTGTTTCTCGTTTCTCGTTTTTTATATAGATTAGACCGTTGGTCTTCCCGTTTGAATGGTTTTACACTAGTAATTTTTGGGGCCCTTTATAGCTTACTGTTCGGTGTGAGCCAAGGCTCCGTGTTGAAGACCGTACTGTGACCTTTAATGGTTTACTTTTATAAATTGTGACTTGGATGGAGAGTTGTCTCATTGGCACTCATACCACATCTTCTTATATCTATATCTAAAAAAATGTTTTTACCCAAACCTTCAAAGTTACTTGGACAATTTTTCGTTGTTTTGACTTTTATATTGTTAGTAATTTTATCAATACAAAAACCAATGGAATTAATTTTTGCCAACCAGCCACTTAAGATTTATCTTATTTCTCAGATATGGCAGCAGGCAATAATGAATAAAAGGAGATGTTGGGTTAACAGATTGATAGGTACTTAGATAAAAAACAAAAAAAAAGATAAATGAATACTGGAAACATAAATGGCATCAAGAAAAAATATAAAAAAAACATTGTTAATATATATAGAGATGCAAGAAAACCCTCTTAAACAAGCCCATAACATATGGAAAAGTGTGAAATACAACACAAGAGATTTCAAGGCACCCCAGGTCTTCCCCCTTAGAAAAGAGACCACCTGCAAAGTAAACAAGATACTGGAAGAAAAACATATATTTCAATTAATATGATTTTTTAGCAGTCATTATTGTCTTGAACATGCTTATGCTAGGAACAAAATTGATTTTGAACATTGTATTTTCAGGGAACAATGGAATGTATCCTGACTGCTGCTTTGACTGGTATCCTGTTTGCGCTTTTTTCTGGACAACCATTGAACATTTTAGGAAGTACTGGTCCCATGTTGGTGTTGGAAATGATAATCTTTAAGTTTTGCAAGTAAGAAAATGCAGCAAATTTCTCTTGTTACAATGTCTTAAAAGCTCTTGAATTTTGATAGCTTTTTGATTTTTTTTAGAAAAAATAACCCACTTGTGTAAACACAATGAAATATACAATCTTATGTAAATAACATTAATGGTACCAATTTACTGCACCAGATGCGCATTTTGACAATAAATGTCTCTTCAGTGATGCTCAAGGCCAAATTTGAAAATAGAAATGTTTGACATTGTACAAGTTATGATTAATTTTCATATTGAGTTCAACTTTCAGAATGTGGAGAAAATGCTTTATAAGGGATATTTCCAAAATGTATTTCTAATGAAGACAATTTATACAAAATGAACACCCATTGCAAACTTAATTTGGTAGGAGTTATTCAAAATAGCTATTTGACATTCAGACATGTTTATTTCAGTGACAGAGGATAAAATTTCCTGCTGTTGAGACCCATGCATCAGACATGTTGGCTATATCTGTTACCTTGTGTTAATGATGTTTTGTTATTTTTTCCAGAGACAGAGACTGGGATTTCCTACCATTGAGAGCATGGGTCGGTCTATGGTCAGCATTTTTTCTCTTGATAATAGTTGCATTTGACCTTAGTGCACTTGTGAAATATATAACAAGATTTACAGAGGAAAGTTTTGCATGCCTTATAGCAATCATTTTTATTGTTGAGGCATTTAAAAAGCTGTTTGCTATAACGAAAAAACATCCTTTCAACATACACCCTGAGATTCCACTGGATTATACATGTGGCTGTTACCATCCAAATTTCACAATGCCGGACCATAACAACAGTACCTTAATGAATATAACATCAGACATCGGATACACTTTAGTGGATATGACAAAAAGTATGTCAGACATTACCTTCAATAAAACAGATTCAAACGTAACCGATTATTCAATGTATTTAACAAAAAAGGATTGTGAGGATAATGGAGGGATACGTTTGGGAAGTGGTTGTGACACAATTGTTTACCATGACAACGTCTTCTTCCTGTCCATCATATTGTTTTTGTTCACCTTTGGAATAGCTTGGACCTTGAAGATGGCCAAGACAAGCAGGTTCTTCCCAACTTTTGTAAGTATAAAATGTTTCCATCTCTTTTTGTGTTATAACTTGACTTGGGATTCATTCTTTATTTAGAGCTATTCCAGCTATACGTGTTAAGGGAGGTAGTGGGGGAAGTTACTTGTAATTTTAGCCCACCATTCTAAAAAAACTTTGATGAATTTTTTTTTTTTAATTGTTGAGGCTATCAAACTCATAACCCATAAAATAAAATTTCAAAAGAAGATCTAGAGCCTTTTGACCCCCAAATCATCAATTCTGGAACAACTCTTACAATATCTTCTTTAATACAGAGGATTTATTTATTTTCCTTGGTATCAATTTACAAAAAATGTACCAGGTCACAGCTAATTCAGCTATTTAATATATACCTATTTTCTTGGTTTCATCATTTTCTCATACTAAAGTTATAAAAATTAGAATTTTCTTTAGGTATGTGACTTTGTAGTTATTCACCCTGCCAACAAAATCAACTTAAATTTGTTTACCCAATGGTTAATAATGAACCACAGAAAAGGAGGTAAATTCATCATTGTTCATGGGTCACTGACTTTGGTGGAATAGGTGAACCACAAATACAAATGTTCAACAAAGTACATTTTGTACAAATCTTATATCATATAAAAGTAAGGAGTTGTGGTATCATTGCCAATGAGACAACTATCCACCAAAGTTCAAATGAACTTGATGTAAGCAATTATAGGCAACCGTACAGCCTTCAGCAATGATGAAAACTCATACTGTATAGTCTGCTATCGATAAAAGGCCCCGACATGAAAAATATGGAACAATTCAATTGAGAAAACTAACAGCCTAATTTATAACAAAACAATTTACAAATAAACAAATATGACTGACATGACCCAACGACAACCACTATAGCTTATATCATGTATATGCAGACTCTGGCAAAAACAGGAAATCAAATATCCACCAAAATATAATTTTTCCTCCATCCACGAAAATGAATGAATCCACAGTATATCTTAAAACTTCACTAAAAGAGTCACGTGAACTTTTTAAAAAAATTTAATGTATAGATCTGCATGATCTGAGAATACTACTTATTAATTTATTATTTAAGAATAAACAAAATATCAATGCAAGATATTCTTTGCGTTCATCAGACGATAATTGTCTTTTCAACCCACGTCCACGAACAAATTTTATGATAAAGACACTTCAATATTCCTGTACTGTTCTTTAAAACAGTATTCCTGTAGAAATAAAAGATAGAACAGTTCAAAACAAGGTATCATAATTTATTGTTTTTAGAACAAAATGGCTAATTATAAGATTCAAATACGACATGTACAACATGCAAGACCAATGAAATAATTATCACAGAAGTTTATCTGTAGTAAAAATATCCATATATTTGTCTTATACATCATTAAGGAAATATGTTAATGAGACGTAACACTTAATCTGTATGTTTTTTCACCATTTGTTTGCATAGTTAGTTGTATTTTTGTATATGTATATATATTATTATATTATTTATCTCAGGGGAGATATGTATTGTACAAACTGATTTTACCCTCTTTAAATAAAGTATTAATTATTATAATTATTATCATATATTTTTGGATGTGTTGAAGAATTTGACAAGTTTTCTCTTCATTTTAGGTTCGTCAGTATTTGAGTGATTTCGCTGTGTTGATCTCTATTTTATGTATGGTGTTACTGGATTACTTTATCGGTGTGCCCACACCAAAACTTGAAGTTCCAGCAAAATTTGCTGTAAGTATAACCACCTTTATTATCATGATTATAATTTTGTTTGATATATGTTTTGTTTTAAATGGAGGTATGATAAGAAGATAAGTATAAAGGAAGCAACCAATAAAATTTAATTTTGTTTATGTAAATTTTCAATATACCCAATTGCAGTCATACAAATTTTAGACACCATGGTACTGAGACTCATAAATCAACCAATCAAAATGCTGGATTCTGTGTTTCGAGCACAAATCTTGTACTCCGAGTACTGAGTAAAGTTTAATGACAGAGAGCCCTGGCCTTGCGGTCATACAAATTTTGAATACAATTAGCGTACTCAGACTCATAAATCAACCAATCAAAATGCTGGATTCTATGCTTCAAACATTTGTCAAACACATATTTTGTACTTTTGAGTACTGAGTGAAGTTGTATGACTGATAGCCCAGGTCCTTGTAATTATAAGAATGAAATAATGTATCATAGTGAGTGGATCATGTATGGTGAAGTACACTTAAGCATAGAATCTAGAAAATGTATGCAATTGATTTTTTAACCTTACACATTGGAATGAAGAAATTATTTAAAATTTCCACAAATAGTAAAATTAAGGAATATGAATGAATTAAGTGCAGTTTTCTTCCAATAAAATCCTTTTGTTGTTGAAAAATTTGAACTGCAGATTTAATTCAGCAGCTGTATTTAAATTCCAGCCCTCCAGCCCTCATCGTGGATGGTTCATTAATCCGTTTAGTCCAAGGAACCCATGGTGGACTATTCTAGTTGCAGCTGGACCAGCCATTGTTGCAGTCATTCTTATATTTATGGACCAGCAGATTACAGCTGTCATTGTAAACAGAAAAGAAAACAAACTTCGAGTGAGTTGATAATTCCCTGTTTATGGGTAATTTTATTGTTTGTACTAAAAAAAAAATGTTCCTTCAAACATGTGACCAGTATACACAACGATGCTCCTCTAGATTGTTGTTTATCCTTCAGTTGTAAAGCATCACTTCCCCCTGTGTTTATTTACCGCCACATGCAGGGGGGATTTGCTATGTTTGACACGGCATGGCAGTTTCGAAGTGGAAAAAACGATCAAGGTAAGAAAAGTATCAGAATTTATTTTTTGAGAATTGTTAGCACCAAATAATGTATTGCACAGAAGGAAGCGAACCATAATCTATTTTCAGCAAGCAGAATCAGACGTTTCAAGTTCTCCGTTTTACTCAAACACCTCTCCCTAGTTTTCCATGTTGCAGATTTTGAGACTTCATATACAAGTGTCAGGATAAAAACTATTTTTGGCAATTTTCCTGTATGATTTATATAGAAAATAATTCCTATCATAGAATTTAACAAAAAGCCACCTACTTAGTCAAAATATATTGGTTTTAAATTAAACTTTTTATCAAAATGTAATTTGTTGTTGGGAGCCGAATCCACCAACACATAAACTTCATCAAATTTCTTCACCAGTTTTCTCTACAAAGCACAGGTGCATGCTCTAAACAGGGCTTATTCTGAAAAGGAAAATGGCTTTATTTTCAATTGAAAATATATTTGGCAGATTTTCGTTTGTAAATATAGATGGCAGTATATCTGTGGAGTAAGTAAGCGAATTTGTTTCGAAGTAAGTCTTTTTTAGAGCGTGCACATGTGCTTTGTAGATAAAACTTGTGAAGAAATTTGATGAAGTTTATGTGTTGGTGGAATCGGCTTCAGGGAAAATCTTATACAGAGGTCTGCTCTGTGATTTTGCTCCATGTTTTGGTGCATTATGCCATAGTTGTGACCTCTTCCTGACCATGATAGTATCAGTTGTCACAAACTGTATAGTCATTTGCTCTTTGTTTTTCAGAAAGGAAATGGATATCATCTGGACATGATGGTTGTCACAGTCTGCATAATTATATGCTCCTTGTTTGGTCTCCCTTGGTATGTTGCTGCAACTGTGTCAGCACTTGCTCACATTATGAGTTTAAGGAAAGAGTCGGAATCTGCAGCTCCTGGAGAAAAACCTACATTCCTTGGTGTAAGGTGAGTAAATACTCAAATGATAAACCTGTAGTCCTTGCTGTAAGATGAGTAAATACTCAAATGATAAACCTGTAGTGTCCTTGCTGTAAGGTGAGTAAATACTCAAATGATAAACCTGTAGTCCTTGCTGTAAGGTGAGTAAATACTCAAATGATAAACCTGTAGTCCTTGCTGTAAGGTGAGTTGTTATTCAATAAAAGCCTACAGTGCTTGGTGTTAGGCAGGTAATTGTTCAATGAAAATAAAAATTCCTTGCAGTTTGCTGAGGAATGACTCAATTTAAGCTGACTTTACTTGATGTATTCATTCAAATAAAAGTAAAAGTTTTTGTCGAGCCTATGACTTTTGTCGCAGAAAGCTCGACATAGGGATAGTGATCAGGCGGCGGTGGCAGCATTAGCTAACTTCTTAAAAGCTTTATATTTTCCAAGGTGGAAGACCTTGATGCTTCATACTTTGTATATAGATGCCTTATGTTATGAAGTTTCCGTCTGTCATATGTCCATTGTCCTTGACCACATTTTCATGGTTGAGTGACTTCTTGAAAAAAAAGGGAAGATTTTTTTGTAATGTTAATTTCTCTCTTATTATGAGTAATAGGATAACTATATTCAATATGTGCATACCTTGCAAGGTCCTCATGCCCGTCAGACAGTTTTCATCTGACCTTGACCTCATTTCATGGATCAGTTAACAAGGTTAAGTTTTCATGGTCAAGTCCATATATCAGATATTATAAGCAATAGGTCTTCTATATTTGGTGTATGGAATAATTGTAAGGTGTACATGTCCAGCTGGCAGGTGTCGTCTGATCTTGACCTCATTTTCATGGTTCAGTGGTTAAAGTTAAGTTTTTGTGTTCTGGTCTTTTTTTCTAATACTATATGCAATAGGTCAACTATATTTGGTGTATGGAAATATTTTACAATGTACAGGTCAGTCTGGCAGGTTTTATTTGACCTTGACCTCATTTTCACAGTTTATTGCTCAGTGTTCAGTTTTTGTCTGTTTTTTCTTAAACTATAACCAATAGGTCAACTATATTTGTTGTATGGAATGATTGTAAGGTGTATATGTCTGTCTGGCAGGTATCATCTGACCCTTTATTTAGTTCATTCAGACTTATGCGTTCTTATTTGAAATATTTTCCTCTGCAATACTTTAAAATTTGACGTTCAAGATTGGTCAAACAAGAGTTTTGTCACTTCAGTGATGTTAAAGTCACTAATCTGCTAATTGTTTTGTTAATTATACCATACAGAGGTGTCAAACTTTAAAGGAAATAGCCAAGAAAGTCTTAGAATCGTCCTGCCTAGGAAAAAAAATCAATAATCTATGACAAGTGCACGAGTAAATAAGTTTTTAAACAATATTAATCTCAAAATACTAAAACGTTTGTCATAGTAATCCCAAACCTGCATTGAACCATTTAATATCTTTTTTAATGATTTAAAAACATTAAAATGTGCCTAAATCCCCCCTCAATTCATGTGCAAAAAATTGATGGAAAAAAATGCATTTCTTCTTATTCTTGTGTATATTTCTCCTGTAGTAGGGAGCACCTGGTAATCCCAAACCTTATTTTTATATTAAACCATTAAATATGTTTTTTAATGATTTAACTGGAAATCAGGTGAAAACAATATCTTCAGAGCACCTGAGATCACCCCCCCCCCCCCCCCCCCCCTAAATTTTTTTGTTTTTGTAGGGGTTCATGTCGCTCAGTCTTTAGTTTACTATGTTGTGTATTGTGTACTGTTGTTTGTCTTTTGGTCTTTTTTTTTGTCATGGCGTCAGTTTATTTTCAACCTTGAAGTTTAATGTCCCTTTGGTATCTTTAATATCTTTTTTAATGATTAAAAAACGTAAAAATATTTGCCTAAATCCCCCCTCAACTTTAAGTTTAAATGTCCCTTTGGTATTTTTTATATGAAAAATGAAATGAAGTGACAAAACTCATGTTTATTTTAAACTTTGAGTTTCATTGTCCCCTTGGTATCTTGTGCCTCCCTTTTATCTAGTTACTAGAATATATTCTCCACTAGTTTTCATAAATTAAATACTGTAAATTCAGAAATTATTGCGTGCATTTATTATTGCGATTTTGTCATTTTAGACTAAAATGCGATTTTATTTTTTGCGATATTGAGAAAAATCCTGTTTAATTCATATAAAATAATTCAAAATGCGAGTTTAAATTATTGCGATTATAACTCTGTCGCATTTTTCGCAATAATAAAAACATCGCAATAATTTCTGAATTTACAGTAACACTTTTTGCACCCCTCAGGTCCTCTTTCAAATTAAAATTGTCATCTAGTTTCTTATTCTGCTTAATACTCTGTTATCTAAAGTTGATTGGAAACAATCTGTGTTTAGTTTATAGCTTTTATTGACTGTATTTCTTTTTTTATTTTATAGGGAACAGCGTGTTACAGCACTATTGGTTGGAATATTGAGTGGGGTGTCTGTGTTTATGACACCGATTTTAACGGTAATCTCAATTTATCATCATTGACAGAAGAGATTTAATTATCTTTCCAAAGAGTCTCTTAACACAGATTTCAGACCAACTCAATTTTTTACTCTAAAATTTTACAGTATGATAAATGTAAATCCATAATTTTTTGCGACATTCCTATTATTGCAAAAATTGCAAAAGGATAGATTCAGAAAATTAAAAGTTGCATCGTTTCTACCACTCTTTCAGGAAATTGCACTAATTGGTCTCTATTTTTTTTGTCCATTTTTCAACAATGGCAATAATAATTGCACACATTAATTATGAATTTACAGTAATAGATTTTGATCATTTTTCAAAAATTTCCAAAAAAAATCACAGATTTTACCCAAATGATTGTTGAGTTGTCCTATACCATGCACAAGGGGTAGGTAACTCTTGTATTCTTATTAAAATCAAAACACTTTATTAATGCAGATCAAAACATTTTTAGTAAATGTAAGTTTCTGCTCACAATAGTTCTATCATATATTAATATAAGGGGAAAACAAATTTAAATCTTTTTCAACAATATCAATGTTGGATTACTTTTAATGTCTGAAGCATTCTGTATATTGTAAATTTAAAATGAGGCAGGTGTTACCTGTAAAAGACAATGGAAGTAGTTATTATTTTTATGAACCTTTTCGGTGATCAATTATACAATTTTGCGGGAAGTCAAATGCTTCGACAACATGGCAGCACCTGTCAACAGGCCTGGTGCTTAAATGCATGTGTTGTTGAGAGCCTGTCTATGAGAAAACCATGCAAAATGCTAAAAATGGTCTGGAAGCAAGTTTTGAAAATTAATGTTATGAGACATGTATCTAGAAGGGTAACATGTTGGGACTCTGTGTATACCATCTAAAGTGAAAATATTTCATTCTATTGAAAAAAAGAATTAACAATTTTGGTTTCACTAGATTTTTCTTTTTATTAATTCTTTTACTATATATATATTTTTGTGTGTAAATTAATCTTTATATGTTTTAATTTTTATAGATAATCCCTATGCCTGTCCTATATGGTGTGTTCTTATACATGGGTGTAGCTGCTCTCAAAGGCATGCAGGTAAGATATACTAACTTGAGAGTACACCTATATGGTGTGTTCTTATACATGGGTGTAGCTGCTCTAAAAGGCATGGAGGTAAGATATACTAACTTGAGGGTACACCTATACAGTGTGTTCTATACATGGGTGTAGCTGCTCTCAAAGGCATGCAGGTAAGATATACTAACTTGAGGGTACACCTATAAATTTACACTTTTAAACTGACAGTATCCATTGCAGGCAAAACATTTTTTTGAAATTTGTGCAATTCATCTTATTTGACTCATAACCATTGATGACACAAAACTAAATAAAAGAATGATTTTCTTCATCCATTTTATTGTAAAACCCTTTATTTTCTTGTCGTATTTAACCAAGCATTGGAAATATTCAAAGAGTGACTGAACGACACATTGATTTCACAAATTGTGTAGGCCATGGGCTCTCTAATGGAAGTGTAAAATGCAAGGTACTCTATTTTTTCTACATGTATATTCCCCATTTGATTTGGTGCAGCGTCTGTGATAATGTCTTGACAACATCCATTGTTGCATGATACCAGAAGAGTGAAACTTTGGGATATATTTCACATGTGAAACTATCAGTTTTTATTTAACTGGGAAATCACGATATTTAAATGCAATCGATGAAATAATTTCTAAACACTAACACTAATCCAACATAAAAAAATTACAATTATAAGTAACTCTGTTTTTTCTTCTTTTTTCAGTTGACGGACAGAATTTTGATCCTTTTGATGCCCACCAAGTACCAACCCGATCACATCTTTTTACGTCATGTTAAAACCACAAGAGTGCATTTATTTACTCTCATCCAAATTCTTTGTCTGGTTGTATTATGGGCAATTAAGACCACCAAATCGATTTCAATCGTTTTTCCCGTGATGGTCTTGGGAACATGCTTTGTCAGAAAAGCAATAGAAAAAATCTTCTCTTTTGATGAACTGAAATGGCTTGATGATATAATGCCTGATGATAGTAAGAAGAAAAAAGAAGATGAAGAAGAACTAAAAAATGATGATGAAGATGAAGAAGTAAGAAAACTCTATCAATAGTGGAACATTTATAATAATGTCAACTGCATATTGATCAAGAAAGAAACTACTATTAATATGCATAAATAATTTTACTCATGTTAATATTGATTTGTTCATATACCTTGTTCATACTTCCAAAAAATATTTTTTCACACTTTTCTCAAAAACAGCAAAGCAGAAAACATCAAATTTAGTCAGCAGCTTGTCAGTGATGAGTTGTAATGTGTATGAGGGTGGGTAAGACACCTACATTATTGCCATTACTTTTAGTAAGGAGTGAGGGGTGCTTAACACAACAAAGCATGCATTCTTGTTGATACTGTTCAATCATTAAAATTTTTGGTATCATAATGAGAACACCCAACGTTATCAATTTTATTCTTCCAAATGATTGGTCACTGTTAACAAGGTTTTCTGACAGATTGTTTTTTTTCGCAATTTCAGTGCATAAAGTTTGGAGCAAGGGTAAACTTGACCTATACCCACTCAATCCACACAAATTTGGTACTCCACAAATAATACTAAATCCACAGTACTTTAAAAATTAGAGCTTCTTTTGTCCGTCCATCTGTCCCGCTTCAGGTTAAAGTTTTCGGTCAAGGTAGTTTTTGATGAAGTTGAAGTCCAATCAACTTGAAACTTAGTACACATGTTCCCTATGATATGTTCTTTCTAATTTCAATGCCAATTTAGAGTTTGACCCCAATTTTACGGTCCAGTGACTATAGAAAATGATAGTGCGAGTGGGGCATCCATGTACTATGGACACATTCTTGTTTAATTCCAAATTCTGGTTATCTTGATCTACAAATACAAGTGACTATGATTCCACCATGTAAAGGACAAATTATCTCTTTAATAGAGAGGTGGAAGAAACCAGAGGAATAGTCAAACTCAACAATCTAAAACTAACTTACAATACCATGGCAAAAGTCAAACCAAAAGACAAACAACAGTATACAAAACACAATATACGAAACTATAGACTGAGCAACATGATTAAAGAGAGACAACTTTACAAAGAGAGAAACAACATTTGTCAAAAGAAATTTAAAAATTATTTTCTCATTTATTTTCAGACGGAAAGTTTACTTGGTGATGAAAAGCGAAGACTTAATGAAATGAAAGCCATTTATGGTCAAGGAGATAAATTCAGTGGTAAGACACCTTTCGCCCAGGATCGGGTGAATATTACGGAGGAAGTAAACAAGACGGGAATCTGGTTACAAGTCAGACGTGACTCGATGCCTGTTATAAGAGATCCGGACCAGAGTAATGGAGGACTTCACAATAGGTTAGGAACTAGTTTATAAAAATTGGGAGAATTTAGCAAAGGGGGGTAATAAAAACTATTAGTGGAAGACAGACGGACAGACAGACAACACCATGAACAAAAGAAAAAAGTAAAACGAACAAAAAATACAACACAGAAATCTGAAGATTGAGCAACAAGATCCCAGACCAAAAAATTGTTGAACTCAAATGCTCAGTAGTTCCTGCTACTCAACTGGCACCTGTCATGTTATCGAGGATGGCTTTCTTCACAATAAGCTCTTTAGTGGTTTCACAATGACGTTAGGTTTGCTAACTGTGGATTACTAATTTTTATGGATTAAGTAGGAATTTGAGGAGTAAAAGCTAAGAATGGTCAATATAAAGTGTCTGGGTAGGGTGATATGTCCCCCTCTGCCCATTTTACTAACTGTCTCGTGAGCTCAAACACAAAGTATCCACCTCAGTAGGTCAGAAGGAGGCAGATTTCATGATCACATCATAGTAACATATTATTACTAGATGTGCATGTAATATTTTCCACTGGATTATAAGCAGCCATCAATCATTCAATCAAGTAGTTTGATGTTTTATATCAGATCTTTATAAGTTCTATTTATTAAAATCACGTGGGTTTATTTCCTTCTTTTTTTCACCTGTTTTTTGTTTGTAGCATTTCTGTTTGAATTTTTTTGTATGTTCTTTGTTTATTTCTTAGGAAAAATGGATCAAAAGACAAGAAGGATAAAAAACCTGCAGAAAAGACTTCTTTCTTTGTTGGTGAAGACGAAAGAACTCCTCTGAAAGAAGAACATGAAGAAGATGATATGGTTTAGATATATATTCATTAAATTTCAACATGTGAAACTTTAAAATGTGAAACTTTAAAATATAAATGTGAAACTTTAAAATGTGAAACTTGAAATCATGAAACTTTAAAATTTTTGTAATTTTAAGTATGTGAAGATTGATAGACACAAATTAAAGTATTAAACTTTTTCTGATTTTTGTCATCTTAAGTGGAAGATGGACAAGAAAATTAAAGGTCTTTTCCTGGTTGTGAAAAAGATGTAATGAAAATGTGTAACTGTTGAATATAGTTTCATTTAGTGCTTTGATGCTTCTAGTCAGAAATTGTAGAATTTCAAAACATGGTGTTAAATTCCTACTAAAGACAAAAATCTTTTTCATATCACAAGCTATTGTAGTTTTGTTTTGTGTCAATATGAATATCCAATTACATTAACACTTAATTTTAACATCAGTTGAGGTAGTTTAAATTAAAATTAAAGAATGAATATTTTTTTCATATGTTGATCAGATTGTTAAGTATATTTTTACATACTGATATGTTTAGTATAGATTTATGTACTGTTTGTTATATTAAGCACATTATACGATACTGATATGTTTAGTATAGTTTTATAATGGACAATTTACCTATTGTTAAAATATGTCATATATTTTTATAATATTTGTGAATTATAAAAATTAATATGAAATTTATATATTCCAGTTGATATTTTCAGAGTAGTTTTTTGAAATATTTATTATGCATTTCCGGCACATATTTTGAAAATATCTAAAAAAAAAAAAAAAACTTGGTGATTTTTTTAAAACATTATCAAAACAATGTTTGCGTTTAACTAATAAGTCTTCCAAATGCTAGTTGTTGTCCTACATGTTTACTTCTAATTGTTTTGAAACAATGCTTTTGACTGTATTATTATTTGAGTTCAGAATAAATAGATGTACTTTTTCTTACATTATAAGTTTATCCTATGCAAAGATCTTGCCAAAGTAAATTTTGATGAAGTTATATAAATACTCTATTTTTGCAAAACATATAAATCTGAATCTGATATTTATTTTGAAAAATTCTAAACTGTATAAAATCAGGAATAATTTATCTTTTTGATCCTGAATCATATAAATTGTTGATAGATGTATATTTGTTTTTAAATCCTGAACTGTATAACATTTTGAAATATCTTCTTTTTTTAAATCCTAAATATTATAAAAGTCTTGAATGATTGTATTAAAGGTTGGAAAGTTTATTGTTTTAAACCCTTAACTGTATAAAAGCTTGATAGATATTTTTTTGAAAAGTCTGCAACTAGAAAATCTTGAAAGCTGCAGTCAAATTAATGACACACTCACACAGAATATCTAGTAATTGTTGAATATGAAAACAGTCTGTTATGAATCTCATGAAGAAACCAAAGTGCTTTGAACTTGTGTGTGTAATATATAAGCCATAATATTCCCAGATAACACTCAGATGTTTTAAGCATAATATGTTCATATTGTTACATAAGTACTAGTCAGTTCTATGTGACATGCATGTAAGTATTTTACAATTATTTTTTTTTGTAGTAGTTATTTTATAATAGACCTGTTGAACTAGACAAAACATTTCTCTGCTTTGTTATGTTTCCAGTAATATGAAAAAAAGGAGAAAATGACATGAATTTAATAAAATTTATAGTTTGTAAATGTCATTTGTTCAGTTAGATTAAACTGTTAGGTCAGTGGGAATCAGGTCAATCTGTGCAGTTCTTTCTCAAAGAGTACTTTTAGATTCCACACTGTTAACCTAACACGTTATATGTTGGCATTCAGTACAACAGTTAAATGGTGCTCCGGAATGATTTTTTTTGCCTGAAGATAAACAGACAAAGATTTAGAATTTGTTAGTTGGTGTAATGTGAATGAATCTCAATTTTCAAATATTTCTCATTAGAAAAAAAAAAATGCTTCATTTTAACATGAGGACTCCAATTTAAAGAATAAATTTTAGTTCTTTACATTTATGTACATAAATATCTATTTGATTTTGCCAAGTAATTAATTTCTTATAATGAAATAACTTTTTATAGAGAAAAATGAACGTGCAATTGATTTATCTTTGCTATTAATTAAGTTTTTTTTTTAAAGATTTATATATTTAATTTTAGCAGTAATGTAAGACATTTTTATTCATGTATTTAACATGCAGTATGTCGTTTGTATATTACATTTAAAACAACGAATATCAATAAATAAAAAAATATTTTATAAAACATTGTATATCTAAATGTTATAGTTTATTAAATTCATTTAAAGCTTATAATTTTATTAAATTCATTTAAAGCTTATAACTTTATTAAATTCATTTAAAGCTTATTTTTTACCAATTACATACATTTTTACTTCTCATTGCCTTTTTCTTCCTGTGCTCGAATATTCATTTGCACATTTGTGCAATAAATTATGGATATTTGTTTTAATTAATTTTAATGCATACAAAATTTACACCTGTAAATATTTTAAACGTTTCATATGTATCAGCATTTTATATTGATGGTGGAATCATATTTTGACTGGAAATATCACTTTAATTATGACTAATTTCAAAATGAGTTTGGTTTGTTTTTTGTGAAATTGATCCCACCATGTATTCAATGTTTATTATAGCAATTGATAAGCATATAAAATTTTTATTTTTTTAAGCATTCATTATTGTAAATACACTTAAAATTAATTGTAAATTTTAGCTGTACTGTTCTGCAATTATTTATCATTATTTTAAATTTGAGAGAAAATGTTTTCATTGGAAATTTCACAGCTAGACATGTGTTATGCTACATTTATGTAAATAAATTCATCAAAGAAACCAGAAAATCACTCATTATCAAATATTTCTTATGAACGCAATGTACAGATGTCACAAACTTCATAAAAGTCGTTCAAACTGATATCAGATAAGGTCAACAAAAAATAAATGTCTCGGTCAGTAAAAAGATTAATACAGCCAAGTTTAAGTGACTTATTATATTAAGCAATCATTCAGCCACAAGCTCTATTTTGTTAATACATTGTAGACTGAATACACCTATACTGCCGTGGCTTGACCGTTCAACAGTTGTTCTGATGTATACACTGTATGAAACATATTAGAAATCGTTTCTTGGAGGCCTCCTGTTAACTTCAATTTGGATAAAAATTCATATTGCTGTTGAAGGTCATAGTGTAAAATATTTTTGATTTTGAATATCAACATAGTAAAATATATTTTGTTCATATCCTGAAATGAAATTGTGATCCACTAACTTGTGATGTCCTGTTTGAAAGTCACAGGGATATTTGTGAACTAGCATCCTGGACTTTTTTTGCAACTACGTGATTTTTTGTTGTATGGATGTCATAATGATGCAGTTATTTCTATCTAAGCACATTTTTGTTAATTTGGTAACATCATGGATATGTGTTAAGAACAAGGCTTTAATATCTTATGATACATATCATTATATTTATATTTTATTTTGATTTGCTGAATTCAACAAAGAGCTTTTATTTAATGCTAAACATGTATTTGACTCTATACACAAGACTTGTAAGAATATGCAAATTGTTAAATATTCATTTAGGATTTTCATGAATATGTATGTGATAACCATAAATGATTTAAAATAATAAAACAGGATATAATTTTTTCGGTGGTCTGTTTTTTGTTTAGGCATCACATACATGTGAACCTTCTGTGGGGGAGACAATAATCCTATTTTCAGGAGTCTGCTTCTGTTCTCCATTTGAAGAGATCCAAATCCTGTGTATAAAAGATCAAATGAATGAAATTTTCCTGGGATGCAATTTTTGCTACGTTTGTTTCAAACATTCAATGATGTGGTTAAAACCAGATGCAAACATGTGAACCTCCCGACGGGAGTACAATAATCCCGTTTTCAGAGGTATCCTCCCGTCCTGTTGAAGAGAAAAAAATCCAGTGTATAAAATATTTCACGAATGAAAATTTTCAGGCGCCATTTTTTTTTACTACAATGTTTACAAATGTTTGTTATTGAAGACGAAAAAACCCAAGAGTACCGAACATATCCGATGTAACTGACATTACCTGTACACAAGACGTGTAGATTTTGACCTGGCCAACGGTTAATTACATGTAACAAGTGATAATAATTTGATTGCATAATAAACAGGTGTCAGCTCAGGTGATAGAATATTAATATTGCTTCTGTCTATGGCACACGCAAAGGATGATTAAAGGGAAATACCGGCAATGATCAGCTGATGATAGAAAAGTGGAATGTTGTCAAAACACTATTGCCAATATTGGAAGGTTTTGAAGCCGAATAAAACATTTAATTAACTTTCAACTCATTATAAAAAAAAAATACCTATTTCGCACTCCAATGTGTATATTAAAGGATTTTCATCATGCTCAACAAGATCCAAACTGACAGCTGAAAACATTGACTCAAAGACAATTCACAGCATCCTGAGTATAAAAATCAACAAACTGTTACCAGGATCAGGATTATTCAATTTCTACATCATACGCTTACATTAACGACAAAATTTATGTCGATAAAAAACCTCCTGATCTGAGTTCTAATATCCTGACCAAAATTTCCCAATCTCCTGATCTGAGTTTCACAGTCCATCACATGTATGCAGATGATTATTTAAATAGTTTTACAATTGATCTCGGCTCTTTTTGACATTACACAACTCGTGTAGATTTTGTCCCTATTGCTAATTAACAGCTGATTATAGTGAGATTGAGAAGTCAACAGGTGAAAGGATGTTAATTGCTTGATATGGCTTCTGTTTATGCCACATGCCAAAGATGATAAAAGGTAAGTACTGGCAAAAGTAAAAATGCTGTTGTCATATCATCGTTCATAAGGTTTTGATGTTGAAAATAACATTTATTAAACTTTCTACTCAGCAAAATAATGCTCAATATCTCACACTTCAACATGTTTGGGACAATCCCCCCAAGTGTGAAATAGTTGCCCAAATGAGTAACTATCCTTCAAATGAGATACTTTACTAGTGTTAAGAAATTATTTTTTTGGAAAACACATTTTACAATTGAAATGGCACATTTTCATGAAAAATGCAGCAAAATTACCAAAAGATGAATAATGCTAAAATGATTTACTGAGAAATGCAAGGCTATGAAACCTTCGAACAATTGACAATTTTCAAGGCTACTAACTCTCTGAAAAACTAAAAAAAAAATTGGATCTTAGGGGAAAATTCTTCCATTTTCTTTAAATTTGTGCCATTGTAAGTAAAAAGACTGCCGAAAAAATGTTTTCTTTAGCATTATGGTATGATTACTGAATTGAGGGATTGTTACGCATTTGGGAATAGATCCCTATTTTGCAGGTTGCCCCAAACTGTATAATGCTATAATGCTAACAGTAAGAGGACATTCAGCATGCTAAGAACATATAAAAAATAAATGCTGAACATTAAGGAAAATTCAAAAAGGGGAAGTCCATAAAAACTGATGAAATCAAATGGTGGACTTTATTTACCAAGAGAACGAATGGAAAACATCTGTCATAATACTGACTCGGTACAGGAATTTTTACGAGGAAAATGGTGGTTAAACCTGGTTTTATAGCAATCTTAACCTCCCACTTGAATGACAGTTGTGTATAGTTTTGTTATATTGACCAAATTGGGTGAGCAACCCAAACAGACATAATAGGTTAATTTGACAATAATTTGGATCCAGCAGCTAAAACTGTGTAAACAAAAATCACAGACATACAACACAATTTACTTAAAACTTCAAACAAACATACAAGTAAATGTATCAAAGACACTAACAAATAAGTGTTTGAAGTAGAAAGTAAATTTGACAAAAGACGCCAACAAAGTCATTGTAGTTGATACTAGTAGTTCATACAATACAAATTACACACTTTCAGGTAGTATTACATATAAGGGTAAACAAAATGTAAAAAACAGGGTAAAAACCTCTTGCGCCCAAATCGCACCTTTGGACTCACCTGCACAGGGAACGCCCAAAGCCAAAACCTTGTAGCTGGATTCACAAATATCGAGTCACGTCAAGAGTCATACAACCTGGGAATTGTATATTTAAAATATTAATAATTTTCAGAGGTCAAACTGATCAAATCATAAAATGTTAAGGTCTGCTGATTATCCAATGAAAGTTTTAAGGATACAAAATACTGAAAAAAAGAATCGGTGATAATAGTAAACAACCTAAATCAAAACATTACCATGATATGGGACACACGACCGAACAGACGAACACATAAAAAGACAAAATAATATATAAACAGAATCACGTATCAGCAAACATAATGCCCTGTGCTATCGTAGGCGTGAAAAAAAACTCGAATAAAGTAATATACTCCACGCATAAAGCATATCACCGTTTGATACAGAAAAAGTGGCATACTTTATCAAGAGGATGATAATAAAGCATACGAACAGCAGACAATACGCTAGACAAGAAGAAAATATACAAAAAGTAAAAATCAGTCTATAACAAAATGTAACGAAAATACCGAACTCCAAGCCAAATTCAAAAAGTGGAAGTCCATAAAAAGCGACAAAATCAAACGCTATCAATCAACGGAACAAAGGAAAAACAACTGCCATATTCCTGACTTGGTACAGGCCTTTCCGAAGAACCATCAATATATAAAACACAAAAAACTTAACACAAACCCTTACAAAAACCGAGGGCTGTCTCAGATGCTCCGAAATCATGGAAATGGTAGGCAAATCTTGCTGTGTTGAAAACCCAATGGTGGCCTTGAGCGGTTTTATGCTCTTTGGTCGGGTTGTTGTCTCTTTGTCATACTCCCGGTTTTCATTCTCTATTCAAGTACTATGTATCCCTGCTCTGCTGTAATATTCCTAAGATTAAAAGGAAAGTTTACAATTAGACAGCTGAAATCTTTTTCATGGTAAAGGTTAGTTCTTATCTGACCAAAATTGTAGATTACTAGATTTCAAGATATGAGTTACCTTTATTGTATAAGGTGTTTCCTTTATATCAGTTTAGATAAAATATATGTTTTCAACATCGTCTTCTTTAAACCTTGAATTATTTAGTAAGAAGACATCGCCATAATATGGAACGTGTATAATAGAATAGTTTCTTTTCATCCTTCCTTTGAAGTTTCTATTTGGAGTCAGCTTCATATGTACAAAGGAAAGCGCTGGCAAGAAGAGGAGCACAGTTTCTATTGAAAAGATATCTTCATAAGTAAAAATTACCATCTTGATAGCGTCAGTTTCATAGAAAAAAGTAAAATCACAAAAATACTGAACTCCGAGGAAAATTCTAAAAGGAAAGTCCCTAATCAAACGGCAAAATCAAAAGCTCAAACACATCAAACGAATGGATAACAACTGTCATATTCCTGACTTGGTACAGGCATTTTCTTATGTAGAAAAAAGTGGATTTCACCTGGTTTTATAGCTAGCTAAACCTCTCACTTGTATGACAGCCGCATCAAATTCCATTATATTGACAACGATGCGTGAACAAAACAAACAGACACAATAGGTAAAAATGTCAAAAATAGGGGTACAGCAGTCAACATTGTGTTATCATCTTAATCACTATAAAAACAAACAAATGTAACAAAAAAGTACAAAAAGGCATACATCAAAATTAACATCCTCATTTTGCTTTGTTTGCCTCATACGTAAACATTACCATCTTGATAGCGTCAGTTTCATAGAAGTTTCTCCTTCAATCAGAGATCTTTAAAAAATATCCCTTTCGAAAACAATATATTAATATTTTTTATTGTATGATAGATGTAGCATTAATGTTCATAGAGTCAGCATTTTTATTTTATTCTGATTTGTATAAACCGGCTCACAGCCTTTACCCATGCAGAAAGAGCATTTGTTTATTTTTTCACTTTTGGGCTATAGTCTGATATAATCCCCGATTTAATCCGTAACTATTGTAAAGTTTGACTTCTTATTTCGGTTAACTGGTAAGCATATTTCTCAGATAAGTATTTGTGAAGATGTTTTGGTCACCACATGTAATGTGGTTAACCGGATAAGATATGACTGGAGATTTATTTTTTTATTTTTTTGTGTTTTAACTGCACTTTTTCAGCACCGTTTTTTGGCTATTTCGTGGCGGCCAGTTTTTATTGGTGGGGGAAGCCGGAGTACCCGGAGAAAACCACAGACCTTCGATAGGAAAACTGACAATCCTAGTCAATTAAGATTGGAGTCGAGTGCACCCGCACGAGCTGGGTTCGAACTCACAATCTCAGTGTTAACTGGCTAGTGATTACAGTAGTAACTACTTAGACCACTCGGCCACCGAGGCCCCTATATGACTGGAGAAGTTAGACAGGTGCAATCAACAGATTTAAAAATGAAGGCCCTGCAATACGCTTTTGAAGTTTAAAATTGAAGGCCCTGTAATACGCGTTTGTAGTTTAAAATTGAAGGCCCTGCAACACGCGTTTGTAGTTTAAAATTGAAGACCCTGCAATACGCGTTTGTAGTTTGAAATTAAAGGCCCTGCAATACGCGTTTGTAGTTTAAAATTGAAGGCCCTGCAATACGTGTTTGTAGTTTAAAATTTAAGTAACAATAAACATGTATGCAAACCCAATTTTGGCTTTCGTTGTTTGTTTGAGAATATTTTTTCATAGAACATCT